AAAGTTCTCATTCAACTTTAGTATGTACTACATCCTATTTTTTGAAAAATGTCCAGTTAAAAAGTAAGAAAAATTTCAAATTATGGGTAAAAAATTTTAAAAATGAATTCAAGAAAAAATGAACTATTAAAAAATGGGGATCAAGCAGGGACTTAATAGCCAGTGCTCATAGTGGCAGAGGACGAGTAAAATTGCATCCAAAATCATCGGTATCCAAATATTATTAGGCTGATCGTAATGTATGGAGAGTTTAAATATCTATTTCCATCCACAGTAAAAATATTATCTCAAAAAGAGAAACATAACAATGCAATGAAATCATAGTAAAAATTGGGGAAAATCAAGAAAATATTAACCACATTTTATGAAAAATATATGTTGGATATAGGTTTTATACATTCATTTTAGTACAGACTAATGATTGTTCAAGTTTTCATCATCATCAGAGAGCAGTAGGAGACATCTAATTACTGACTCCATAGCCAGCCATTCTACTAATATACCGATATCAACTACTCCTACACCCTTTCACAACAACAAAAAAGAGGTCAATCGAGATTCCTGATTGGATCACTTCTATTTCTTCGAATGTCAAAACAAGAGCAGAACACCCAATATCCCATGTTAAAAACAAAATTTTATCATGCACCTCAACAGCCACCTCCTGATGCTACTGCCTGATTTACCTACTCTTCTGATTATACCGCCTTTGAAAGAATTTTACACAACTAAAAAGTAAAACCAGAGCTTCAACAACACTGCACAATTGTTCACCAGGATATTTAGTGGAGTGATGGAGAGGGGGTTGTTTTTCTATAGCAGTTTAGCTTCCAAAAATCTTGTCTTGGTACCAAAATTGGCACTCAACAAAATATGGGAACATGAAAAAACTTCAGGCCCCATCATCTTCGCTGAAAGTAATGAGTGCGAAAAAACTGGTAATCAGGGTGGTTCACCTGCAAACGTTGAAGCCAGTTGTCGGCTGATTGCAAAAGAGAGTTCTCTTGCTCGCATTCATGGGGTCCAGTAGGACTCAAAAGTGAACCTTTCAACTTGTAGGAAGCTAGCCCAAAGACTGGTAAAGAAATTTTTGAAGATATGTCAACAACGCCACGGACTTTCCTAGTATTCGCAGCATGAAACTGAGGTTGAAAATTACCTGTATAGTAAAAATGAAAGAACAATCAAGATATGCTTGACCACAAGGGCTCACGAACACACACACATAGAGAGAGCGAGAGTGAGAACGAGCGAGAGAGAGAGAGAGAGGTACTTCTAGATAGTGTTGACAAGGAATGAAAGGTCAAAAAAGACGCATCCAGATCCTTTAGAGTTGGGCTCATGGGTATTCTATAAATTGGATACCTGCAATAGATTTGTTGTCGAAAAATAAGATAATGAGTTAGAAAAGACTCGATCAAAAAATATAAAGAAATGTGTAAAAAATTTGCAAGTAAAAAAATACCAAGCTACAGAAATCCAACTTGACGGGAGGAGATCACAGCTCCTACACTGTCTCAGCTCGGGAAATTGGGATGCGAGAATAGAAACCTGCAGGGGTGATGGGAAGATATTCAACCGAGGACCTTCACCAGCACGTAGAAATCAACAGCTGCTAATTCAATATTTTTAATCTCAAGTTAATCTACCTTGTCAGTTAGTGGTTTGCGTAGATGAGGTTGTTCTTGTTCCAAATATTCAAACAAGAGTAATCCAGGCAAATTGGAAATTTCAGCTTCATCACTAGATGAACTTTGAACAAACTTATCTCGCACTGACAGCCTATTTGGTTGCTGGGCATTCGGATGATTCCGATATCCATCCACTGCAGATTTGGATAGTTTATATGCTTCACAATCGCTGCAGCCAGAACTACTCGTTTCCCTAGATGACTCAGCATCACTCTCCTCACCAGGCCTCCTGAAAGGGGAAAAAAGGAAGGAAGAGTTCAATATTACAATGTCTAGGGCAAAACAAGCAAGCACCTTTTTTTAGTGATTCTTATTTGCAAAAATAGTACTGTGAAAAGCATAGTAGTCAGCACAATCAAGAATTATAATTTTCACCAGTACTAATCTTATAGAAGAACAACAAAGCAATCTATAGGACAAGAGCCGCAGATTTGGATGTTTGATGTGGTTAAACAATGACAACATGCTCGAGACACTTCCTTTCTCAACCAACCATTAATCAATGTGTTATTTGTAGAGAAAGAGCCAAAATAACTGAAGAAACGAGACTCGCCAATGTTAAATGTGCAAAAGGCATCAAGTACCAAGTAGTTTTAGCCGCTTGCTAACCTGAATGGGTCCCTAAAGTTGAGATAATATTATATTCTGCGCCTCAGGGCAGGCTATCAGGTGCTTCTTCAACTTCATTACTTAATATAAGCACATTGATACAATTATAACACAGAAAATCATGCAAATAAATTTCATAGATTCGAATTCTTCTTCGGTAACGTGCCAACATCAATTTGCTAAATGACAATCACAATGCCTTCAATGACTGGTACTTTGACAAGTGTAATTGTAACCCCACCAAAAGTATATTTTCTATCATATCCTTTCGGTATGTAACAACATGATTCAAGCCAAAATATATTCAACAAAAGACAATGAGCATCTCCAAAAGACTCTTTAAACAAGAGATGCTCTTTATTTTAAAGAGTCTACCCTTAAAATCATGCTTCAAGAGACTCTTAAATTAACATTTCAATTTAGAGAGTAAATTTAACTCTTCAACCCTCTATAATTAAATGTATTCAAAATATTTCAATTTTCAATGTAGGAAAATAATATAATAATTTAGAGAAAAACTAGTTAAAATAAAGATAGAGAAAATAACAAATATTTTTTGAGAGTGGTAACATTAAGTGTCATATATAAAGAGCCTGTTGGAGTGCTTCAAAATTTTTACTCTCTAAATTTTTAGATGCTCTCTATATAATAGAATATGCTCTTTAAAAGTAAAGAGTATCTTGGAGAGGCTCCAAAAAAGTAAACCGTTCAGCATAATTTCTGGACCATCTAGACTGGATATTTTAGTAACAGATACAACAAGTAGGACGATAGTGAGCAGAGTATTTCTTCTCATAGAAGAGTAGCATAGACTGCATATGGCAATATATTTTTATTGGAAGAATCAGAAATCATCTTTTCCAGAATAATGAAGCTATACTCCACTTCAAGCAAGAATGATTATAAAACTTAGATTCGCCAGCTAGAGCCTTTGCAACATTCCCTTATAGGGAACAAGGAGAGGCAGACCCCAAAAAACACAAACATAAGTTACTTGAATATGTCATATAATATAGATGCATTAATAATAAACAAGAAAAAGTTTCTAGCAAATCCAAAGAAATTGGTAAAATCGTATAAAATTCCACTAAGTTTGGCATCTATAGTTCTCTTGTTAATCTAATAAACCTAGTATACTTAAAATAGAAAAATACAAATAGAAAAGCAAATATATTAAGCTGCTATTGAATTGGGTATGCAACTTTTAACATAAGTCTTCAACAATGCAAAGAAATAAAAGGAGAAGGTAAGAGCAAAATAAAGAAAGACAGAAAGTAACTTTAACACCAGTATGTGGCTGATTTTACTGCTCAAGTCCTCAAGAATGTTAAAGGAGACAAATATGCTGATGCCAGTAACATTTCAAAAATATTCATCTCCAGCACTTTTGTCAGTACCCATTCTTCATTCATGGTTTGTCTACAACCATGATGAGAAGCTAAGATAGCTAAAGAGCATTAGTTATTAGTGTAGCAATGAAACTGCATAAACAAACGTAACTGAGCTATCTAACACATGGCAAGAATGGGACCGGGAAAACCTACCTTGGGGTCATTTTTTATTTTTTATTTTTGATAGGTAATCAAATATTTTATTAAATATGGATAATACACAGAAAGTCCTGTGTATTATCAATTTATACAAGGCAGAAACGATATGAAATTGGGCAACCCGTCTACACGAGTATTAGCCACTGCATTAAACTAAGTATACAGTGTCAAATAAAACAATTCTTTAATCTGCTTTGTTATCCGTGTATGATCGTCAAAACAACGGCTTTCTCTCCCTCCACACACACCATACGATGCATCCTGGGATAAAATCCCAAACGATCTTACTATCTTTATTACGAAATTTTTTCTTCCATGTCTTCAAAACATCCTCCATATGCTGCGAAAACAACCAATCCATGTGTTGAGAAGCCAGGACATCGTTCCACAGGGAACGAGCATTGTCACGATGAAGAAGCAAGTGGTCAATCGTCTCCTCACTCCTCCTACACATATAACAACATTTCGTAACATAAAAGCCCCTCAATCGGAGATCATCCATCGTTAACACCTGTCCACTCACAACCGTCCATAATAAAAATGTCATCCGAAGGGGCAGTTTACATTGTCATACCTTCTTCCAGTGGAATGAACTCTCCTAAAGTTTCAATAAGGATCTAAAATAAGAGCTTATTGAGAAAATGTCATTGCGTGCGAACCTCCACCTGCTACAATCACTCTCCCCTACCCTAACTATACCTCATACAAAGAGCTCGGGAGTAACACATAATCATCCAATTTTTGGTCCTGTAGACCCTTTCCAAAAGCAATGTGCCAGTTAGGATTCCCATTATGCATATGTAAGACTTCATTCACCATAGCGTATGGCATCAAAGTAATACGATACACGAAAGGATACTCCACTCTTAACGGTCAATCTCTACACTTGCAATCTTTCCAGAATCTGATAGTATTGCCATTCCCCACACATACGTCAATCTATCCTGAAATTCTCTCCACCCTCGTCGAATATACCTCCACAAACTTATCCCATAAGAACCACGATCCTCGGCTGAACAGCATCCCCCCTTAATACCCCATATTTCACTTCTACAATTTCTCTTAAAAAGCTCTTCCTCTCCACACCAAATCTCCACAACTACTTACCCAGCAAGGCCTTATTAAACAATACAAGACTCCTCAATTTGAGACCCCCATTTTTTATGGGAGAACACACTGCACCCCAATTAACTAAGTAAAGTTTCCTCTCCTCCCTTAAACCTCCCCAAAAAAACTCCCTTTGAATCATTTCTAATCTTTTTGCCACTGAAACGGGAATAGGAAACAATAACAAGAAGTGGGGAGATTCGATAGAGTGGACTTAATGAGGGTAAGACGACCTCCCTTTGAGAGGTACATACGTTCCTTTTAGATCCTGCTTTCTATTAGAAACTTCCTTTTAGATCCTTCATGCTAAAAATGTAAAGGGTGTATATTCTTGTAAGGAGATACTTAAATTGAATATCTAGGATGGCATAAAAGTCTACGAGGGAGGATGCTTGTGGCCGTACAATCTAGAAAAGTGGTGTCTCTATGGCTGTACCTCCAAAAATATTTAGGAGTCTTAGCTTGCAATCTGGGAGACTGTGAAAAAGAACAATCCTCAGGGTAAGTCCATCAAAATGTGGTGCAAGAATTCAAGCAGCTGGCCGAAGAGTCAACAAGAACAAAAAATCGGATGAGTGAGTTGTAAAAGAAAACAATTTGCAATGCTCAATGCCTTCAGATATGCCCTATACAAAATACAAAGATAAATAAAAATAAAAAGATAATTAACTTTTTTTGCTAAATCCTTTATTTCCCTGATATATCATTGTATGAGCTCGTCCTTCGTCGTTATACAAAGAAGAAACTGCATCTTTTTGGTTCATTGGTATTAGGTCACATTTTTGTTCAATATTATGTCATATGGAATTTTATTCGAGTCAGTTCACAGATTTTTCTTCTCATTGTGCAGCGAAACAATTCGAATACTGCTACATCCTTCCATTCCTCAAAAAAGATTATCCACAAGTCAACTGGCTTGGTGGAGTAGATTGGAAAGGAAGAATTGGTTATCAAAAATCGATATCCTTTATAGGAATTGAGGAAGGAAGTGAGATCTGGGAGGAAGTCTTTTATCTCACAATCCAACTATTTGTAGCACCCTTAAAATCCTTGGGGTCCAGCATCAGGAAATGCCACTAGCAATAAAGTTGCCTATTATATTAGAGTAGCAAGTGTCCAAGAGCAAATGATCATAACAGAAACAACTGAAATAGATATTATAATAGTTAATGAAATCTTACTCAGATAACTAATAATTAAAGAGAAATGACTAGTTACCAAAGATTAATATTATTAAGGCTCACCTGCAATGTGAAGAAGGCTTTGACGCGTCAATGTACAACTGTATGCCCGACAAGTATGGAACATAATATTGTGTGATTGGGTCTTTCCCATTTAACAACAAAGGTACTCCAGCTCCATACACACTCCATTCACGAAAAGATTCCCAAAGATCCTCCAAGCAATAAAATGGGTGGGACTCTACTTCCCGCGTTTTCCTTCCTCTTACTATCACCTGTCAAAACTCAAAACAGATACTTCCACAAATCAACAAACTTTTAAAAGCTTCCTTACTGACAAAATCTTTCAAAACTGCCACAACTTGGTGAAAAATACTTCTCTAAATGACCCAAATTGGCTCGAACTGACAACCTTCTAGAAATTACTCTTTCATAAATCATAGAGTATTATGAGAACTAAAGAGCATTCAAGAGCTAATTTCAGAAATATTTCAGAAAAGACTGCAATTCCCAAAAACTAGCTAGCTTCTCCATAAATCTTTTCAAGTGGACAAATATCACAATCTTAGAGTATCTATATTTCCACAGATTTTTCAAATGCCACAAACTAACAACTATTCATTTTATGCATAACAACTATTCTTTTTATGCATCAATTGAGAAACATTCTTTTCCTTTTAGAATGCATTTAATGTATGGGGAGAAAACTGGCATTCAAGCCTTTTAATGTCAAATCCCATGTTTTACGTGGGAATCCTTTGATGCTAACATATGGACAAGTAACTCAGGACAACTGATTTGTAAGTTTAAATTTCACAACAATGAAGTACAATTGATTCTGAATAGCAGGCACTTAAAATCGTCTCATCTCTTATGCAAAAACAAAATATGAAATCATAAACTGGAACTTCTATTTCTTTTCTTACTTACATTTGCCTACCAACAAAAGAAGCTATAGTGCGTATATCCAGAAAAAGAGAAAAGGAAGGGGGAAAAAGCACAATTCTTTAATACCTCAGAAAAG